AGATCATTTGCCTTCTTAAAGGACCAAACTTTTCTGAAGCACATCAGGAACATTCATTTGCATATAAACAGTGCAGATTTATAGAAGCAGACATGTATTTTCTTAGGTTTTTCAGTAAGTTAACTACAAATCACTCATTAACTTATATGTATTAGGAAGAAACAGAATTGTGTTCATTTAAAATATCCTATACTTTTCAAAGCCCTAATTTCTGTTCATAATAAATACCTTTTCTCTGAGTTATCCTCAAATTTCTTAAATTCTTTATCCCATGGGTTGTAAATATCTGGGATATTTTTCCACAAGAAAACTTTGGATGAATTTATATCTGCCTATCAGATGCCATGTGAGTCCCTGCCACCTTGTGTCCCCTTGCATTGAAATGAGAAAGGACACCTAGTGCTTTAGCATGGCACAGTGTCAGCAGAAGGGAGTACCTATTCAAATACAAAGCCCTCACCTGCATTTCTTTTTTTAAAAAATAATTTTATTTAGAAACAAATAGCAATGAGACAGTTACAGAACCGATTACTAGCACAGTTTCAATAATTAATACACTGCATATTGTTGTCATAGTGGTTATTCATTGTACAAGATGCAGACATGATATCCTGTCCACAAGCACTATTAAAACAAATCTCTCTATTCATTGAATTAAGAGAATGCAGCTGTATATCTAAACTATTTTGAATATACTGATACAAAATGGTCATTCATTTGAATCCCCCTTCTCACCTGCATTTCTAACAGCCATTTTTCCTCATATACATTAGGCTGCTGCTTTTCCCCATTCCCTGTATCAATTAGACTGTATGGAATTCCACTAAATATTATAATTTTGAAAGCATTTTATTGTTTCAGATGACTGTATTCATGATTCCAGGGCCACTCAGAGATGGCACCTGGCCCAGCACAACACACCTCTCTGTGCCTCATCCTCTTCCTCTACACACTTTCTCTTCTCACCTTCAACCTCCAAACTCCTTCATTCTCCTGATGCTCCTCCTTCTTAGGCACAGAGCACACTGGACACCTTGTCATTAGCATAGCAGCTTTTAGGTTACAGCTTGGGCAATTTCATGTTTGTTCTCCATTTTGAAATAGTTATTGAAACTATTCCAAGCACATTTTGTTGTGCTAGGGTACATTCAGGACAGGGAGGCTGCAAACTCTTAAGGAGTGAAGGGAGCAGGACAGCAGAGGGGCAGAAGAGAGCTGGTGCCTACTGGAATTGCCCCTCACAAAAGACAAGTTCAGGAACCCCACTTGATTTCACCTCATGGAATCCTGAATAGGATTCCTGACAAAAAGAAGGTCCTGAGGAAAAGGCAGCAATCGCATCCTCAGTGACCCCTGTGAGATGGCATTTTCACTTTCTTCAGGAAGTGATGGGAACCCAGAGAAGCACAGCGACCCAGGTGTGATGAACTAGCAGAGCTAGCTGCCAAGCTGCAGGTCGGCTAGCAGTGAGGCAGCAGTGGCTTGGCCAGAGTTGCCCAGGAAATAACTGTTTAAGAGTGAAAGAGGAGGCCAAAAGATCGGCTATTAACTGACTGCAGACAGAGGGAAAAAAGGAGTCTGTTCTGGGGGAAAACAAACCCTAAATTTCTGTACTGAAATTAGAGAGTGCAAGGAAAGAAGGAATGGAAGCATTCAGTTTGGGAAATATAATTTAGCTTGCTTTATTATTATACTATCTTAGCAAATTAAACAAAAATCTTAAATCCTTAGATCTGTTCACTGCACAGGCAATAGGCTGAACAAGTTGAAACCTATGTTTAGGAGCATGGCTGTAGAGAACACTTGGAAGGTGACACTTCCTCATGCAACAGATTTTGCTCCTGTCACGTCATGAGCTGCAGCCCAGGAGGCTTCTTGGATTTGGTCAGCATTAACTTGCTGCAGTCAGAAAGTAGACTTCTTCACAACCTGGGATGCTCTGCTCTGTTTCTTAGCTAGTTTATGGAACAGTTCAAATTTAGTGTTGAACAAATAAAACAAGTCTTTCTCTCCATACTCCCTTCAAACAGACATCACTGAAGAACTTTCTCTGCCCCTCACCCCACCATGACCTCTCAGTGATACTGCACACATTCTGGTCATTAAAAAAAAAAATCTTTCATTTCTTTACTTGGGACAGGGTCACACTATGCAGCTCAGTCACATACTGGTCCTCCTGTCTCAGCCTCCTCAGAGCTGGGATTACAGGCGTGCGCCACCATGCTTGCTTTCAGTGGTCAGGACGGCACACCCAGTGTTCTGGGACTGACATGGCTTGTGGTACTGGGGATCGAATCCAGGTCCTTGCGCTTGCCAGGCAGGTGCTTAGACCACTGAGCTATCTCCCCAGCCCTCTGGTCACTTTTGTGGAATCATTTTGAGTGATTTTTCACCAGACCACATTAAGAGTTAGATATCCAGGTTGGAGAATTTTCCACCTTTTGGTCCTTTCTGAGTCCAAATGTGGAAAGTGGGGATTACAGAAAGAGAGGAAGCTACTGTGCCTAACTTCTCATCCAGCTCATGAGGTCATCAGCTGTCCATATACCCAAGCTCCCGCCCAAACCACTGGAGCTAACAACAATGAGATGTTTCCCCATGTTCCAAATGGGAACTTTTACATTTGGGAGCATATATATATATATATATATATATATATATATATACCCATCCCAAATATTTCTACTTTTCCTAACTATGGTTAGAAAGATCCATAAAGAAGTCTCAATTAACATCTAGTGACATTTTATAAGAACCCAACAAATGTGATATGTGGGTCATGTGGTCAGCATGTTCAGTTATAATGTCAAAACTAAGGGCACTATTAGTGTATAAGATGCAATTGAAATAATTTCTCCCTTTTGGATCAAATTTAAGACTCTGAGAACAAAGACTATCCCTCACCACAAATGAAAACAATGTGATGAATTCTTCCCTCTGTCTTTCTTTCATTTTCTATTTAAAGAAATTTCTGAAAATACATGAATTATGCAGCTTATCTCTCAGATGAGATAGAATTTTCTTGGATTGGATGGCTGCAGAGTTATTAATAGTAATAAAATTTTTCATGTTCTTTTGTATCAAATGGAATTCTTACTGAAATATGAAGGAGCTATTCCAGCAATGATAACAGTAACTGATGAATAATTATAAAAGCTATAAGGAATTAAAAGGCATTTTAATTTGTCATTACTTCTGTGTGCTCAGAAAGGATCTGAATAATTATGGTGACTATAAAAAGCAAGCAAGTGATATTTTTCCTCATTATGAGATTAAATTCTTAATATACCACTTTTACTATACGTTAAAACAAAACCAAAAAAAGCCTCTCTTCTGGCTTGCTATAAAGATGTAATCATGACTGAAAACTGCTCAGCTGCGGATATGTTTGTTCTTCCTACTATTACACTGAGATTCTGCGCTTCCAGCTCATTTTAATTTGGAAAGTGTTCATCTTTGCCGTTTACAAAAATGAAATTGTACTTGCTTGCTCAATGTGAACTGCCGACCTTCATGTCACATTAATTCATGAAGATGACAGTGACTAGCATTTCCTTGGGTCATGACCGAATGATGGCAGAAACTGAAATGAGATTTTAAAACAGAGAATTTTTCTTTCTATAACCACTATTAAAAAGTGGCTGTGGTAACCAGGGTCACCAAGACAAAATCTTAAAGCCATACTTAAAGCCATATATATATATATATATATATATATATATATCCATTTCTTTTTGTCTTCACTTAAAATCTTAAACTATTCTATGACAGCATTTTTCTTAGGAAATTAGATTTCAAGACCTGCAATGTGTTTCTAGGTGAGTGACAGGGTTTTTCCTGTATAACTTGTGAAGTTTCATTTATCCCAGTTCCCACTGAGGCACCTGGATCTTAACAGTTAGGAACAGGGCAAGCAGCAAGAGCATCCAGCTGCCTGCAGCACCTTGTCCCTCCTTCCTGAAGCACAATGTGAGCACTCCCAGCAGTGCTGTGAGGGAGCCTCAGTGCAGCCAGATCACATCAGCAGCAGGCGAGAATAATCCCCTGCCAGGGTCGTCAACAAGCTCTCTGACCTCATGATGCCTTTCATACTCTTTTCTAAATTGGTTGCACAGATGCATGAGCTTCCCTCCGGCAGATGTGTATATGCGTGTGCCATGCAGCACCAGGATCGTCTTCCCACTGCCTCCTGCACTCTGCTTTCCCTCTTGGCTCCACATTTTTGGGGAGACATGGTATCTACCCCCCTGTTACTTATGCTCACACTTCCCCTCCCCTCTTCTAATCCCTTCCTCTTTTTCTCAGGATTAAAATTCCACCCTTTGACAGCTGTAAAACCGTGTCCCATTAACTTAACCAACTTAAGCCTTAATATTCTCACCTTTAAAATGGGGAACATGACACTCCAAATGTGTTCATAGGGATTGAGTTAGGAGTAACATAGATATGTAATTCTTGACCCACAGTAGGCATGCAATCAATAATGGCATCTTCTTGCCACAAAAAGAAACTATGTACCCTTTAGAAATTAGTTATCAATGTGATTGGTGTTTTTAAGGAAAAGAAAGCAGAAGCATTTTTGTATATCTGTTTAACAGAAAAATTTGCATGAACAGAAAATTAAGTTTACATTAATGTGAAAGCTCATTGCCTATCATTGTCTCCATTCACGGGGAGCTTCTACAAGGAATTACACCTGCAGCTTAAAGGCAGCTATACATAGTGCACCTATGTAAAACCACACATGGTATCCTGGCTGTAAGTACATTTGACATGAACTTAATGTCTGTTTTCATTTAGAAATAAAAATTTTCTTCTATGTATGTGGTGATCACATAGGTGATTGAATAATGTACACAGATTGCTTAGTCTGTAGAATATAAATTCAACTTTATTTAAATTTGATGCTTAAAGTAATGTAGGGTGAGGATGAAAAGAGAAAAACAGAAATAGAATGTGGAATTATGAAGGAACATAAGACTGTGTTCTCTGTCTTCTAGCCTGAAGAATAAGTAGTGAAGATATCAAGGGAGATTAAGAAAAGATGCCAGCATTTCTCTACTGTGGAGACTGCTTATCAACCACCAGAGGAGGATCCTTTCTTGAACAATGAACTTTTCTTATGCAGAGTCACAGAATAACACATGACTAATCTTGATTTTGGAAAATGAATGATATTATTTTTCTTTTTTTTTAATTTTGTGGTAAGTTATGGTATTTGGGTGGATTTAAAAAAATATATCTTCCTGGTAGCATATTTAGCACATGTTCTAAATTATAACCCTGTAGCAAATAGTTGGAGTATTATTCAAACTTACAAAGAATGAAAAATTTTAATTTCCAGTTTATTCTAGATTTCTTCGGAGTTAACTATTCTGTTAAATTCTTGATGATTGTGTCATTCATCACCTCTATCCAGAAATAAACATTCTTTCATCATCGTGTCAACACGAACAGATCCAGAGCAAATCACTATTAGTGGAAGATATATCATGGACAAATTCCAGTTCTTCACCTTCAGGCATGTGTGCCAGGCTTGTCTTCTAAATGACAAGAGCAAGGATGACAGACGAAGGAAGAATCCTCATCCTTTCCTTCTGATCACAAAGCAGACAGCTTCTCAAGGTGAAAGCCCTCTTTGCAAGCTGCCAAATACTAGCTTAGGAAAAGAATTAGTTTGCTTGCATGATCCTCTTAGTCAAAATGTCTTCACAGGGGTTGACTTTGTTAAAATCTTTCATAAAGCAGCCAGAAGAATAATAAAGCCCCAGAACAAGATGGAAATAGGTGTTTCTTCTGAAGTTGCCTTGGAATGTGGGCTTTAATTTGGAGTACTGATGATTCAGAAACCAGTGAATAAGTCCTGAAGAAATGGCAGCCCTGGGCCAGTGAGGCCCCTTGTTTCTTCCATTTCTCATCAGAATCTTGCTGCTGTACCCACAGCTTCCCATTGGGAAGAGGGCCACAGATGGGACAATGAACTGGACAACTGTTCCTCCATAGTGAGGAACATCTCTGAGTGCAAATCACAAAGCTTTTTCTCTAGGTTTAATTCTTCGCAGCAGTGACCCCAAGTGGTGTCTTGCAAGCTGATTATAACAAGGGACCTCAAGCCTCTGGTTGGGATACTGCCAGCACTCCAGCTGGAATCTGGCTGGGCCAGCCCTTTGCACTTTGTGACTCCCAGAGAGGATCTGTGACTGGGTTTTCTGGACCTGTGTTGCTTTCCACAGAGAGTGGAGGCGGTGACACGGCACTGAGCAGGGAGTCAATGACGGATATGCAGCGTTGCTGCTCCAGGGCCCATTGCCTGGGCCTGGAATGTGGCACTGTCCCCTGAGGACAGGCCCCTGTGGAGGGCCTGGAGTTGCCAGGGTGTGTGCCCGTGATGAGAAGCGGCCAGATGAGGTTGCCCTGTGGGGAGGAAGGAGGGATCCTGGAGGGAGAAATCTATTTTCCTGTTTTAGAAAGAAGCACACACAGAGCTGTAAACCTCTAGTGAGGCTTGTCCTTGAATGTGTAAAATAAAGCTTTATTTGTCAATTCTGCTGTAAAATAAGCATTGTCCAGGTTAAGGAAAAACATCTTTTTTCTACTTGTGTATAGTGACTGAGTTCATACCCTGAAGAATTATGTCTTTATTTTTTTAATAACCTAAAACAGAAAAGCTTATGAGCTTGGATTTCTTTGGCTTTACACAAAAGCCTGCCAATTCCTTTATAGATGAGCTTCAGCTATAATAATCATATTGTTTCAGAGTTTCTCTTCTAAATACCATTGCTCTTTGGTAACCTGCCAAGGGAAAGTGAATATCCTGCCAGAGGTTTTTGTTTGTTTGAATGTTTCTCAGTTTCTTTCTTTATTTTTGTCTATGCAGATAAGGAAATTATCATCCTAGAGAACTATAGAGAGGACAGGGATATAGCGCAGTGAGTGACATATGCGCCTGCCTGGCAAGTGCAAGGCCCCAAGTTCAATCCCTGGTACAGCGAGAGAGAGAGAGAGAGAGAGAGAGAGAGAGAGAGAGAGAGAGAGAGAGAGAGAACTATTATAATGATGACATATTCAGCTCTACGCAAGAAAGACTTATAGATGTTCTTTATATTTTGGGAATTCTTAAATAGATATATCTGTACTTGGAAGACCAGCTGTTTGTCTTTCTTTGGTTGCTCACTTTGATGTGCATTTACCTCAGTTGTCCATTTTCTGGTTTCATTATGGCTGGATTGGATGTAAAGCAGATCTGAATGTCCAAAAAACTCTGCTGGAGAGGAGGAATATTGATGCAGACCTCGCTGTGCCCCTATCTTGTGGTCCAGTCAGCCCTGAAGATTCTCTAGTAGAGAGTCTATCACCTGATTAAAGAAGAAGAGAATTTTAGTAAAGGGTTTTTTTTTCTAAAAATCTAAATTCAGGATAATTTAGGGAGAGCCTCATCCTTTTAGAAAAGAGATATGCTGTAGGTTATGACCATTTGAAGTATTTTACTGTTTCAGAGTACGTGGAGTAATGTTGACTCATCTAACCAAGTACTGTCCATTTGAAGTTTTGCTGCAGTAAAGACAATAACGATTCAAAATTAATACATGAGCCTAATAGATTTTTTATATAGGGGTGAAACTTTATTTTCAAAAGAAAAAATTTTAAGTGATTAAAAGAGCGTGTCTTCTGGCTTTGTTCTGGTATTGGTAGTGCTGGGGACTGAACCCAAGGCTTCATACACGCTAGATGAGCCTTCTCCTAGTGACCTATACACCCAGCCACAGTTTGCGTCTTGAAGAGATAAATCACTTGTACAATTCATACAGTTCAAATTTACTGTCCTGGTCATGCAATTCAGATTTACTGTACAAAACTCTTCCTTCTCTTCAGTGAAGAGATAAGCTTCAGGCTAGCACCTGTTCTGGTGGCCACAAATGCCACGAGAGTAAAACTCAAATTAATGAGCTTTCCTTATGTACAGCCTCTACAGCCCAGTGAACTAATAAATGTGGTCATAAAGCAATCTGCTAAGTAGCAAGGACTTCAGTGATTCCTTCTGCTGATAAAAGTAGTCATAAAATTCATCTGCTGTGGCTGGACAACAAAGACCAACAGGATTTGTTTTTCATTTGCCTCCTAGATACCATATAAACATAAATTAGGTCTGGAAGAATTTTCGCATCTTCCTACTGAGCTAGGTACACTAGGCCAAACAGCCCAAAAATTAAAAAAAGAAGAGAAGCCACCTAAAATATGTGAGCACTCATGTGGGAATCTTGAGCCTGTGTGCTGACGAGAAGCTGCCACATGTTTTCCCCCTTTTGAGGGAAGCATTTAGACACGTTAGTGTGAGCACAGAGTATTAGAACCCCAATAAGACAATCACCTTCTCAAACTTCCAGATAACAAAATACACTGTCTGCCTCCCATCCAAGCTAAGTATCCATTGTTCACTTGATCAACTTGTCCAAGAAATTGATTGCTTTTCTTTCATAACCAGAATAAGAAGGGTCTGATCAACATTTTATTGTGGGGACAGATATTTTTCTCTTTCTGGCTCTTAAAATTTTTGTTCATACTAAAGGCATGCAGAACTACCTCATAGGTGTGTTGTGTGATAGCTAATTAATAAACAACAAGTGTTTCAAAGTCTAATCTCTATATAAATGCTGCCTGAATTTGTTTCCCAATTTAAGACATGTATGTCATAGGTGTCTGGATATTTCATCACCATATTCATGTTTATACCTTTGGCTTTAAATTTGATATACAAAATGAAATGAAATTTCAAGCTTTTCAACACAGACTGAGCGGTCAAACTCAAGGCTGACAAAATAGCATGCGGTGAAGCAAAAATGCACAGAAGCAAAACCAAGATGCATTTAAATTCTCAAAAGAGGGAGCCGGCATTGATTGTAAAATCTATTGCAGTAATTTTATATTATAATAGTTAAGAGGCCCAAATCTCTCAGTGACTCCTGTGAAAAGGAAGAGTGGACTTATGGTTCTGCTGATGAAAATGTAGCCTTTCTCTCCTTTGGGTGTTGAATGAAAGATAAAAAGCAGCATGGGGGCCAGGCATTTCTGGTGTCACAGGAGAGCATGTGCCTCCCCTACCTTCACAGTCTTCCTGGAAAACCATTTAACACTGTTTTGGGGCCTTCTATCTTGTGTAATGGATGCAGCTTGAAGAGGGAGAAATGGAGTTAATCTTCAACAGTTTCCTAGTAAGGTCATGTAAAGGCTCTATGGTAACGTCAAAAAATAATTTTATGGCTGGTTCGACTTTGAAGCTATTTTCCCCTGTAGGACTAATTATTAGCGGTTTTATTTGCTAATTTCAAATACCTCAACTTAATTAGCAATTCATTCTGGCCTTTAAAAACCACATTCTATAATCTTCAAATTATAGGAGAGAAGGAAAATCAGCCCTCTGACTCCCATTCGCAGGTTGCACTGCTTCTGGAGAACCCTTAATCTGCTGACCTGTACCAGGTTTTTAGATCAGCTGGAGTGACATGGTGCTGAGCAGCAGCCAGAACAGGGACAACTCAACCCCAGAGGTGAGCTGATGAATGCTGTAGCTCATGTGGCTGGTGACCTTTATATTTTACTTATAAAAAAGGGACCTCACAACACAGAATAATGGGTTCCCCAATTTGTGTCTGCTTACAACTCTCTTCTGACAATGCTCTGCAAATTTTCTGTGTGAATTGCTGTTCTCTATGTAACTCCATGCCTGACAACGTTAAAGCAACCAGTTAGGAGCAATTTCAGGTTTCCTTGTCATCACACCAGTGGGAGATGGTTGTCTTTCGAGAAACATCTTCATGCACCTTCTCCTGTGTTATGAGGTTGCCCTAACTGTTGGATGGGGTGTTAATCAGCCTCTGTCCATGAAATGGGTGCTCTTGATTTTACTGCTGATGTATACAGATTTACCGCGCTGCCAACTCCATCTTCCATCAGTCCTCAACTCTGGCTGTCCAGATTGGAAAGAAATGTTCTTATAGGTGGAAAAAAATATAAAATGAGGTGCTCATTGAGCTCTCTGGATAATCTTGACCACAAAGAGTTAAAATCTTACTAGAGTGA